TTCAAATTATTTAACTTTAAGCATTTTACGATAATACCACATTTTGAAGGCCTCTTAGAGGTTACTTTTTATAAGTTATATGGATTTACTAAATCTATATTCTAAAATATTTAATTGAAATATGTACCAATTAGTTAAATAATATAGTTAACTAGAAGAGTATATATATTTATGGACGATGTTGTAATTTTATTTATTATATAGCTATTTATAGCTATATTCCTAATTATAAACTTAATATTTTTGTTCGTCATAAATGTATTTATAAAGTTATCTATATTCATATAGGTATTATACAAGTACCTATAATATTTCTATAATTTTCTTGAATAAATTACTAGCATTCAAGAGGTTTTTCATACTCTGAACTTTGCAGTGTTTGATGTTAGTGCTTCGTAAACATACAAACCGAGAATTTTTAATTAAAAGCAAACTTTATAAAACGTGGAAATACCTACAGCCAAAGGATGAATGTAATTTACTAACAAACCATAACAGTTTGAATAATGTAAATAATGTTATTATTTAGTATTTTACAAAAGCAAAATGTAAAATGTTATTTCCAAGAATATTAAAATGATAGTAAAATCAATAATATTAATGATGGGTAGCCGCTAGGTATATTATAACCAGCAAGGTTAAATCCAAAACTTATGTTATATTTGTGTTTAATAGTGATTAAGTGGAAATGGATTGTTATTAATTATATTAATTTTTTTTTGAATTTTAGCATCCGAAGGAGCGTTTAAAAAATTGAAAACAGAACCTTTGACATCTGTAGGTAGTATAAGTGGAAGCCATTCTGGACACACGCCTACTACGGCTACGTGTCCGACTCCAGCAAGACGAAGACACCGTACGACTTTTACCCAGGTTAATAACGATATATAACATTCCATTATGTAATTATTCTACGCATTGTATTCCATGAGTACGTATTTTTAACTGTTCATATTTTTTTTTTTTACTTAGGAACAACTGGCCGAGCTTGAAGCTGCTTTTGCCAAGTCTCATTACCCCGATATCTATTGCAGGGAGGAATTAGCAAGAAGTACAAAACTCAATGAAGCTAGAATACAGGTAAATTTTTATAAAATACTATAATTTATGAGATACTTTTAACTTTGATGCCGTGTGTAATTTAAAATTATTAGACTTATAAATTGAACGTAGGTAATTAGGAATTATTAGTAATAAAATAAATTATCCTAGGACAAAAAAAAAAAAATGTTTTAGTTTGCATACAGGCATGGTCAGCTGTACATTTTGTATAATTATGAAAAAAACAATCAAGATTATTTATAAGTTTAGTACATTTATATTTTATAATATACTATGTGTAAATATGTGATATATATAATGTCATTTGGTCCTCAAAAAAACACTTTACCAGACATGTAGAGTCATATTTTTGTAATTTTTTTTTTTTATTCATACCTATTATACCTATATGGGATAATATTTTCCAGGCCATAATGAACTCCATTTTTAAATATTTTAATGTCAAACTATATATAGGTACGTTTTTAAAAATTTGCAAATTTTAAGTTTATTTTTTACAAAATTATTTGAAAATATTATTTGAAATAAAATWAAAAAATTCCGAGTTCGCTTGGCTTGTAGGAAGTTTTCTTTTTTCAGCTAAATAATTAAGCAGTGATTAAAATATTAGTGAAAAAGTGTCTTAAAAATAATGGAAAATAAAATATAAAATATAATTTTCGAATTCTATTTATTAACAAGTAAAAAAAAATGAAGTTAATTTATTAGTTTATTACATCCTGTAAATTACAAATTCAATTTATACATTTTTTATAAAAGGTTCTTTGATAATTGAGAGAATAAGGAAAACTATTAGAGAGTGAAAATGCAAAACATTAAAAAATTCAAATATGAACTAAAAGATCTAGGCAAGAAATTATTTGATCATTTTACAGTTAGTATACTCGAGATTTTTTCAAACATTCCTTTTAATGTATTAGTATTAAGGTTTAAGTTATAGTGATATGCTGATACTTATTAACTGTATAGTCCGTATTCCTGTGTAGACATTTTCTAATATAGTATCATTTTGTACGAAGACCTTCTTTAAACTCGTTCAAGTGATTTATTTAAAATTTAAACTAACATTTGAAAAAATCCAAAATACGCTACCATATTATATAAATAAGGTCTAACTTGATCACAATAAAATTGTTTCAATAATTGTTTCATTCACACACAGGTGCATATAATGTGCCGTACATGTTAACAACAATGTTTAATGTTGTTCAAAAATGTTTTTGTAATATTGTAAGGATATTATCGTGGGTTATGATGTTCATTTAATTCTAAAATTGTGTATCATTAATTAAAAATTATAAAGCTTCATAATTACTCGTATGCACGATGAATCGTGATATATAATATACATAATACAATATATATTATTATAATATAATATTTATATATAAAACTCACATTTAATCGCGACGGCATCGAGGCAGAGTGAGTCACCGACTTTCCCTCAATCATTGTCCCCAAGAACATCACACAGGGACYACTGTAATTGAATTTATCATCCAAAATGTATTTCCGGGCACATAAAGGGATACGTTTTCCCTGCAGGGTTTTAAAAGGCCATACTTTCCCGAATATTTTATACACCCACACACCATAATATAGTGATAAAACGAGTTTGTAATGACTTGAAAAGGGGAGAGAGATGTTTTTGCATTGGACAATGACGATGACGATATTCTAGGTATGGTTTCAAAACCGAAGGGCCAAGTACAGAAAACAGGAAAAGCAATTGCAAAAGGCTTTGGCCCCGCCCTCCATGCTTCCCGGATGTAACGGGGCCGCCATGATGAGAAACATCTACCCTTCAGCATCTAGAACGTACCAAGCTTATCCGCATCCGAATAGCATGAACAGATACCATCCGCAGGTAAAGAATATTATTATTATTATTTTAACAAAGTTAGAACTCGTTAAATATATTCTGTCCGCTGCATGTTTCTAATAGTGGTTTGATACACACAATAGTAGGTATAT